GTTCGTTCCGTTCGATCGCTGACGTTCATCATCCCAACACGATTTTGATTCCATCTATCTTTGAACAATGCGTAAAATAGACGACTCGGATACCCGCTCCAATAGCAACAAAACACTTTCCTTAGATTTTAACCTTTTCTGGAATCAGATATGTCCGGTCATTGCACATGGTGACCCTGGTTGCACTGTGCTTTCAGATGGATCGCCTTACTTCATGGTCACCACCTTGCCCTCCCACTTGCCCTCCTCCCTGCCCTCCTCCTTGTCCACCGCCATGTCCACCACCCTGTCCACCTCCTTGTTGTCCTCCACCTCCCCCTCCTCCGTGCCCTCCCCCGTGCCCTCCTCCTTGTCCGCCGCCATGTCCACCGCCCTGTCCCCCTCCCTGCTGTCCTCCACCTTGCCCTCCTCCCAAACCCCTGCCATGCATTGTAACTGAGCCTGACGAGCCCTGCCCGCCACCATGTCCACCACCCTGCCCCAAGCCTCCTAAGCCATGCTGCCCGCCCCCCTGTCCCAAGCCTCCTAAGCCATGCTGCCCACCCCCCTGTCCCAAGCCTCCTAAGCCATGCTGCCCACCCCCCTGTCCCAAGCCTCCTAAGCCATGCTGCCCGCCTCCATGCCCACCACCATGTCCCCCTCCATGTCCACCTCCGTGTCCACCTCCGTGTCCAAAGCCAAAGCCGTGTTGCCCTCCACCTCCACCCAAGCCAGAGCCATGCTGTCCTCCCCCTTGCCCTCCGCCGTGTCCAAAACCATGTCCAGCTCCCAAAAAACCTGCTTGCAAGCCGCGCTGCCCAAAGCCTCGCCCCCCTCCCAAGCCACTTCCATGCATCGTAACCGAGCCTGATGAGCCCTGTCCCATGTTCTGCCCGAAACCATGCCCGAAGCCCCGCCCAAAGCCATCCTGTCCTAAGCCAAAGCCATCTCGTCGCAAACTGCCCGGTATCGTGACCGAGCCGGACGAAGGCTGCAGCTGTCCTGGATCTGGAGACTAGTAGAAGACGATCTGGAGTTCTCACGCCGAAGTCGATGGGTTCTGTAGCTGCCTGAGTCTGGACGCAAGCCTTTGTCTGTCTGATGGGCCGGACGAGCTGCCCCTCTGCCTCTGCTCGGCAGAGGCTGATCTTCGCTGACAGAAACCCGTGAAGTGCCTGACTAGCTCGATAAGGACAGGCGACCGAAGAGGCGATGAGAACAAGTCTACAGCATGAGGGTGACAGGTGGCGAGCTTGTTTCTACTACCCTTCATGAATATACCGAAGAAAACGACGTTGTTGCGCACTAAAACACTAAACGGTTCTTGGCGTTCGGATAGTGCCCAGTTCAGCACAAGTTTTCGTTCTCCAGTGTGATCAAATCCTGATCACAATCGAAAAAAAATCATCGAAAATTGAAAATCAACTGTGCGAAGCAGGCGTTCGTGACAAAATACATACTGCGCATCTTACTGTTTTTTGTTGTATCGTTTACCTGCCCGCCACCGAAATGAAACACCCGTCACACCTTACTAAGGAAAATCGAGCTCCAAATGTGCTCTATATACTCCACATGACCACACTTGCGAGACTCCAGATGACGCCAGAATCAACTCTGAAACCAATCACATTTTTACTTTCTAAAACGTCTGTGTTCCAGTTGAGTGCAAAACCAGCGACCAATCAACTAATCTACCCTAACATAAATGCGAGAAGCAGATCGTATTGATATTTTGACACCTAACATCGGGACACTCAATTGTCAACAGTCAGATATGGCTGTATTGCTATCAAAACGCATGTTCCATGTCGGCTTTTGTGAGTCTAATAAGGAGGGATATCTGTCGCACTTTCCACCGGACTCGATTCCAGAACATGACTTATCTCGTTGATCCAGGAGACTTCTGTTCCGAACTTGTAGAAACCCTGCAGAAGCGACGGCGGGTGAATTATTCTCTGCTAACGACCGCCGGCGCTTGTTCTGCCGAGTCTACCTATGGTATGCGAGCCTTGCGCGCGACCTGCTAACTTTTGTGCTGTCATGAACATCAGCTCTTATCGTATGGCAAGTGTGGATGACCACGCTTATGCTACCAGTCATGCTCCTCTTCTATTCAGGGGAACTGCATTCTCGCTAGCTTTGCAGCTTCTCGTAGCATTTAGAACAGGTCAGCAGCTGCGTTTGCTTCGATCAAGCGCTGGATGCCTCCATGCGGATACGTGTATGGCTTTCGGTGATATCGTCAAGACATCAGGGCTCAACTTTGCAACCTGCGCACAGGAGATTCACTCCATTTCATTAGATTGTTTGCGCTAAGTAAGCTGGCGTTATATGCAACTAGTTCGGTGTCTTATGTTTGCTGAGTGCAGTGCACTACTTTGGGTCGAACGTCCGGTAAAACGTGGAGTTTCTATGCGTGACTCGTATGTCGGCTAAAAGAGATCAGTATAAAATCTGCATAATATTACGCTATGTAATATACAATGCAGTTATATCTCATCTTGTGGTAAATGTTCTGCCTCCAGCCCTTTAACGTTAAATAATTTTCCCCAACATATACATTTAACAGTATTGTATATTACCAAGGGCCAGTTCGGTACTCTCGTTCGAGAAAGGCCCACGCACGTTGCCACATTGTCGAAAATCGTTGTCTTGTGTCGAATTGTCTGAACTGAACCCGCAGACACCCATAATCTGGTCACGCCGCGTCAAAAGCTTGCCTCAAATGTTAGATAAATCGGAATCTGCCAGTCAGAATCGTTATGACACCGTGGAACACATAGCTCAGTTAGAGGCTGCATATATAGAACTGCAGGCAACATAAAAATATAAATTGAGAACGTGCAAGACATGATTTTGATACATACCATACCATACATACATATGCATTCGATACTTCCTGCACAAACCTGGGCCCGCTACTTTTTGAAACGTTTCCACGTCAGTGAGGTCTTGTTGAAAACAGATGGGTTTGACAAAGTCCACCAAGATTGCGTAATTTTAGGGGACGTTTCCGACCCGTATGTGTCGAGAGAGAGACGCTTGCCTCTGTCGGCATGCGAGTTATCTTTTGAGCGTGTTTTGAAACAATAGGAGCACAGGCACATTTGTTTTTCAGAGTCTTCAGTGTGGGTTAAACGTTATCAAAAGTTTCCAATTCTAAGGGGCAGTATATCCACCGATAGAGATTTCCAAGTTCATGGTTTCTAGAGAGAAAACGAACAACTGTGGCCTACTCAGAACTGCACATCTTTTTAGCAGCCCTACGCTATCTGAGTACATTCTCTTTGGTTCGCAGTGATAGGCTGTTGCATTAAGTTTTAAAACTTCTAAAACGTGCAAGTTATGCAAGTTACGTTATTATTAGTTCATAAATATAAGCTAGTTATTAGAGCATAAATAAACGAACATGAATTGGTATATATAGTTACGGGCTTCCCCAAGGCTTATCTCAACGTCAGTTGGAGTGGGACGGCTTAGGATTAAATGGATCGGAAGGCGTTGCGTGAACGCACGTAATGTGTCACGAATCACCAGGACAGACAGCCTACTCTTTCTTAAAATATTTGAGAGAGATGTTTCACATTTGACGATTCTGAAGCAGGCATCAGATATGATAAATAGGGTCACTTTTAACTTTGGTACGCCTTTAAGTCCAAAAGACTATTCTAGATAGCTAAATTTTCCTATGTAGTTAATATGCTCTTCAATACGTCATCGTTTGATCGCTTCACGATTTGCTTCGTTTGATTGTTGGATTGTTTCATGGAACGTTTGTATGACGTCAGAGTGGCTGCCAACCTGGCCGTGCGACATTCCAGCCGAAGCGGACGGGCTGGCTCACCTGAAGCTTGAATTAATCGATGCGTTCGTTTCAGAATCCGGATATAGTTGTGCGTGCGTGTTTTGGCCTTTTTCGTGATGCTCTTGCACAATCGACCATTATCTTATGTTGTTTACTTGCGTGCACATGCTCGTTTATGGTGCGTTTCTTAAGTGTGCGTATTATTAGCATATTAGTGTGGTAGTGTATTATGTAGCCCAAAACGCGATTCGCGTTCGAAGCTTGCATTTAAACGCATTACATTGGCTGAGAGCCAGTAAAAATCAGTTCGAGTCGGATATCGTGCTGACGTACGCCGGACACGGACAACTTGATGATCATACTTTTTTCTAGCCTGAGGACCATGTAGTCAGTGAAGGCGGCAGTATTCGTGTAACGTTTCTACGGCGTCATGCATGCTTGGGTGACCTTGAAACAGTGCACTAAATGATCTGTACAATTTCGGGGGCATAGAACTCAGAAACCTCAGAAAAGCTCAGAGGGCATTTAGTCTTAAAAAGGGCATGGCTGTGCACAGCACCGAATGATCTCAAAATGGCTAGCTCAATTTGAAATCCCGTACAGATGTGGAGCACTCCCTTTAACAAAAAAAAAAATTGGATGAATTTCTGGGATCCGAGCTCACGCTAAGGAGCTTTTGTCATGTGAGCCCTGACCTTTACCATCTGCTCGCACAATTTCAGATCAAAGGCAGATTTGAATGGAAAAGCCTTAACATGCTGCACTGCCCGGTGCAGCCCGTTCCGCCCTCCAACGTTACCTAACCTTTATCCCGGCCGCTGCCGCCGGCCTTAGGCAACGAACCCACTCCGCCACGGGTGGGTGGATCGGAAGGCATGCGCTCTAACCAATTAAATAACAAATATCGGGACGGACCATGTCAAGGCTGAAAGTTCAAAGGTTAAGCCTAAATGGGTTTAGGCGATGTCTTAGATCGCTAAAATATTTTTTCGCACCCAGTGTAAGCTGAATTTGTGCTATTGTCCGGTGTGAGTGGGACAATGGCTAACGCAAAACAATTGAACTATTACCGTTGCCGCATAGCAACATCAGCTGCTGCTTCAACTGTCATGTATGTATTCCAAAATAAAAAGTGTTTTTTTTCGCTAAGCCATTAGTGGCGTCAGATATAAAGCTCGTGCACTGGACAACAAAACATTATGAAGCCAACTTAAATACTTCTGCCAGGGTTGATATTTCTTGGAAGACAAAATTAAATGTGATGTAACACAAAACATTGTAATTTTGGCAAGCCAAATTAATTTGCTTTTGCCATTCGGTTATCATTTTCCGCCTTTACCGCCGCCAAACATTTCCCATGCAAGATATGCTAAAACCGTGCTGAGTTTTGCATGTAGTTGAATCGTCCAGCATCAGTATCAAGCAAATATTTTTGTACATTTCCGGCTTACGCCGAAGGGATTTTAAAGTGATACTGCGGAAAACATGCCATGCCGGCGAACATCAGTGAGGTGCACAAGGAAGCCAATAAGCTGTCCACCACCTTGTCCACCACCCTGTCCTCCACCCTGTCCTCCACCCTGTCCACCACCCTGTAGAAGCAGTTGCAATTCCCCTTCATTTTTGACGTCATTAGCTAATGGAGCTCTTGCGGTCTTTCAAGGTATTCAGACAGTGGTAAGTTAGCTACAACATTTATCGTGTGTATGCTGAAACTATGTTGATGATATTACTCATCGAACATGATTAAGGCACGATACAGGAGGTCAACCGTTCTATTCACCCCGTCGACCGGCTTGCATTGCATACGGATGCACCTGATACCCGCGTCACTTTTCAGGTGTGTCGTCTAACGTCGTGGTCACCTCCTCCATGTCCTCCGAGATGCCCACCGCCTTGCCCCCCGCCCTGCCCGCCGCCCTGTCCACCTCCTTGCCCGCCGCCCTGCCCACCGCCTTGCCCGCCGCCTTGCGAGCCAGAAGAAGTCCCTGGCTGCAACTGTCCGCCAAACCCAGCCAAGTACCTGCGTCGGCTGAAGAAGATCCAAGACCAGGTGATGTCGGCGCCCGCTACCAGGGTGGTGGTGGCGCTGCTGGCGTGCCGGGCTATCCTACACCTACTTGGAGTCAAGGTCTGCTTCATGAACTCTCTGTGAGCCGATGGTAAATCTCTCCGTGTCTTCTTTTCTGCCTCCACCTTTTTTGGCATCACAATACTCACGGGCGTGCAGTGTTTCTACTGAATACAGTAATTACTGTTTTTATGCATATAGTTTACCAGGATGGCGTATGTGTGTTCCAATGTATGCAACGGTCTTATATGGACTGCTTTTGAAGTATGCGTCGTTTTCAACGAGGCATGGATTGGAGGGCCACAGTTCTCAGCCATAAATGAGCCAACAAATGAAATGAAAACACCGCCCAGCTGTAATGTGTTGACACAATGTTGTATGCACCGCTGCGAACATTTGTTCAAGGGATTATAGACATCAACCTTCGAGGTCTGGAAATTTTGACATTGCAAGCTTTGACTTGTTGCTTTGTTTTTTTCCTGCAAATGGCTATTCAAAACATACGGTGGTTATGGTTATGCGTTCGAGTAAATTAGGCGAACGGCATGTGAACGGATGGAACGATAGAAATGATGCCTCCAGTTGATCGCGCCTGCTACTTCAACTGTTATTCGTGCGGTAAATATCCCCTGCCCACGCTCACGCACCCCTTTCTTGTTTTTTTTTTAGCAAACATGCATAAACGACGAATGCGCAAGCCCTAAACTTAAAAACATTATGAAGTCTACCACGCTTAGAGACAGAAACAAGAAACACACAAGAAGCGCCACGAAAAGCTCAACGTAACAATGATCTAGAGGGAGCTTGTCAGAATGAATCCGACAGCGACTCCTCTTGGTCTTCTGACGCGTATTTCGCCGTAAGAATGCTCTGCCTAATGCTCTTTAGGTCACTTGTATCAGAATCGAAGGTCCACCTAGGACTCGTGGTGGAAGTAGCGACGGAGCCGAGACTCCTAGGACTCCTGCTGGTAGTTGCGGCGGAACCAGCCGGGGATTCCGCGGAAGAAGCCGGTGACAGAGGTGGACATGCGACGTAGCGGCGTCATCTGCACCTCATGCTGTAGATCCTCCAAACTGAACCCTGCCGGCCGCCGCCACGTCCGGTCAGCGTACATCAAAGTACACATCAGTACATCACATCAGCGCACACGTGCCCTGTAGCTGAACCCTGCCGGCCGCCGCCACGCCCGGTCAGCGTACATCAATGTACACATCAGTACATCACATCAGCGTACACGTGCCCTGTGGCTGAACCCTGCCGGCCGCCGCTGCACCCTGTCAGCGTACATCAATGTACACATCAGTACATCACATCAGCGCACACGTGCCCTGTGGCTGAACCCTGCCGGCCGCCGCCACGCCCGGTCAGCGTACATCAATGTACACATCAGTACATCACATCAGCGTACACGTGCCCTGTGGCTGAACCCTGCCGGCCGCCGCTGCACCCTGTCAGCGTACATCAATGTACACATCAGCACATCACGTCAGCTTGCACGTGCCCTGTGGCTGAGCCCTGCTGGCCGCCGCTGCACCCTGTCAGCGTACATCAATGTACACATCAGCACATCACATCAGCTTGCACGTGCCCTGTGGCTGAACCCTACCGGCCGCCGCTGCATCCTGTCAGCTTACACCAGCGTGCACATCAGCACATCACATCACATCAGCGTACACGTGCCGTGTGGCTGAGCCCTACCGGCCGCCGCTGCACCTTGTCAGCGTTCATCAGCGCACACATCAGCACATTACATCAGTGTATACGTGCCATGTGGCTGAACCCTCCCGGCCGCCGCTGCACCCTGTCAGCGTACATCAATGTACACATCAGCACATCACATCAGCTTGCACGTGCCCTGTAGCTGAGCCCTACCGGCCGCCGCTGAATCCTGTCAGCTTACACCAGCGTGCACATCGGCACATCACATCACATCAGCGTACACGTGCCGTGTGGCTGAGCCCTACCGGCCGCCGCTGCACCTCGTCAGCGTTCATCAGCGTACATATCAGCACATCACATCTGTGTACACTTGCCGTGTAACTGAGCCCTACCGGCCCCCGCTGCACCCGGTCAACGTGCATCAACGTACACATCAGCGTACAAATGCCGTGCGACATTATTTAGAGGTCACCGACGGCGGTCAACATGGCACGCGGGCTATCGTCGCAAGGCAAGAATCAAGTGGCGGACATTAATGCATTGCTTAATGAATGCGAGGAAAGTAGCTCCACATAAATGGGAGGAGGAGGGCCGTGAACTGGGCGGATAAGACTGCGTTATCTGCAAGAACGGTGATCTGCAATGAGTAAGCAGCTACGAAGGCGTTAAGATAGATCATACGCTATAGGTTTATGCAACACGTTTGACGACTGTGGGCAGAAAGAGTACCTGACCATTTGCTTTCAGGTCAGGGAACAAGTCAGTTACGCGTAAAGCGCAAAATCCTCCGTGCACTGCTAAATCATATTGAAGAATCTAGTTAACGCATCAGATCGCCACACAGATATCTGAAGAAGCACTTCACCAATGGCGTGAGCCACTCACCCGGCATGATCTGGCTGCCCCACCAGCCTGAGCTAATCACCCGGCGTGATCTGGCTGCCCCACCAGCCTGAGCTCTTCACCCGGCTGTAATCTGGCTGCCCAACCAGCCTGAGCTATTCACCCAGCGTGATCTGGCTGCCCTACCAGCCTGAGCTATTCACCCGGGGTGATCTAGCTGCCGCACTAGCCTGAGCTATTCACCCAGGCGTGATCTGGCTGCTCCTACCAGCCTGAGCCACTCACCCAGCGTGATCTGGCTGCCCCGCTGGTAGGTGGGTGTCATGGAGACGCCGTCGACGAAGGCGCCGTCGTCGGGCAGGCTGAGCGCCGCCTCCGACTGGGCAAGGCTCTCGGTGTCCGACCGGAACTCGGCGCGGATCCGGTCCAGCGCTGCCGGCACACAAAACAATCGGCTAGGTCGGAGCGGTGCTGAACATGAACACGCACTGGATGGGCGACCACACGCGCTCTGCCGGATGTGCTGATCAGGGCGCGCGGGATATGTTCGCACCCATGCAGTGTTCAGGACGTGGTAAGGAGACGCTAATACCCTCGGACGCCTGGCCCGGGCCAGAGAGGGACAATTCGCCGCAACTTCTTTGGTCTCAATCCCGCATTACGCCAATGGTGCTGATTGAAAAGGAACCCTTCGCATGAACATCGGTATTCCTCCAACTATAGTGTGTCCTGAAACATTGCACTGGAATACTCACTGACCCGACCTTTACATAGTGACAGACCCCATACAGGTGTAACTCAGCGAAACAAACACCCGAGGCGTTGGAAATGTCTGCGTTATGAGTAGAACATTGGACCGCATAGTGCGGCGCATACCAGAACAAACTCGGTTCATGCACGAGCCAAGGAACCTCGTACATGCCACTTGACTGAGCACAGAGTCATGTCGTCGTACATAAAACACGTCGTGTGGGTTAATCTACATTCCAACTGTAGAAAGGAAATGGCACTCACCAGCCATATGTGCAATCGCCGCACATACTCAAGCACCTATTGGAGCACCCACCAACGGTTCGAATCCATAAGCCAGTCAGCCGTATAAACGTCAAACTCTCCGGCGAGAAGCATGCTATTCTGACTCCTGTATACTAGATATTTGTAACGCAGGTCTTGCGCTATTGATTTTCCTCGTTATCAGCTCTTGTGCCGAAATAATCAGCCTCCATTGTGCGAGGAGGTACTGGTTAAACGATAATGTCAAACAATTTCAAAATATAACCTATCGATCGCTTGATATCCTGGCTTCACCAGTACCATCTATTATACTGAAGGTCGACTATTTTCAACGTAAGAGCACATAATTCTTCATGCTACTTACGTTTTGATTTCGCTCAATTACACGTTGGGTCATCGAGGCTGTTTGGTTCACGAACAGCTCGCTCAAAGACATTTACACAGGTGCGTAACTTTAGGATTGTGTTGGGTGAAGCGACGTTCACGGCCATGGCCATACCCTTAGTGCCGCGTAGGCAATGTCTGGGACAGCCTGCCGTTGTACGGCAGCTTACTGAGCTCTGGCCTCTGACGCATCACTGGTGCTGACTCCGTCAGTATAATGGAGTCGACCTGGTGTACAGGGAAACACGCCCCAGTTTGGAAGGAAAATAGACGCGGTCCAATAATAGCCGGCCCCACCGTGTACTTTGACATCGGAGCGAAAACACCTCTATTGCTGGACGTTTTCACTGCAGGATATTACCTGAGATACGTGCTCCAGCACTAATGCGAGCCCAACGCTTTTGATCGCACACGATGGGGATGAAATAAAACCGCAAAGATGGTGACTACCAGACACGGAATGCCGTCTTTTTAACGCGCACCCGGGTGGCCGGCTGAATACGACATGCCCGGGTGGGGACAATTTCATCTCTCCTCGGTATTTAAAATATGAAGGAAGATAGAGACACCAGATTCATAGATCAGGTAAACCTGTATACGCACTCACTTGTGTCCAATTTTTAGATCCCTTGATCATGACCATTGTGTCAAAATGTGTCAAACAAGGTCAAACTTAAGATGGGTGTCTGAAGTG